TTCTTTCTCACAAACGCCTCCTTCAGTGCCCAGTCACGAGTGGTAGTGAGATAGTGAAGAAGAGAGGGATCAGGTGGGACGAGGTGAGGTGAGATGAGGTGAGGCAAGGCGATGCGATACGAGTTGTGGTGAGGAGATGGGAGGAGGAGGATAGAGGATGGAAGGTGTGCAATGTGCATTCACCAGGAGGATTTGTTTAACGACATTGCTGTGCCTCAATTCGTGGGGAAGTAGAGAGGGAGGGAAGGAGAGAGGAAGGGAAGAGGGAAGAGGGAAGAGGGAGGAGGAAGGGGGAGGGGGAGGGGGAGGGGGAGGAGGACATGAAAGACGGAGGATGTGGGGGAGGCGGGTTGTGTTGGGATGATGGCGAGAGGGTGGAGAGAGATGGTCACGTCTGCGATGATCTGTCAGCATCACTGGAACGTCCTTAGCCGATGGCTTGTCACAGATGTGAGTTGGTTGACGATGTTTAAGTCAAGACCTCGCCCGACTGTTCTCTTCGCCAAGTAGCTGTTATTTTTATCTCTTTCATGCAGCCTTCCTCCTCCCCACGTACATAAGTTCTAAACAAATTTCAACACATGTCATCCTGGTTAAAATCTTTTGTGTATTTTATTAAACAAAGGCGAAATTAAAGTAAAAAGTAAAGAATTCTGTTCGAAACGAGTATTTTGTTCAAGTGGAATGGCTTATGGTCCAACTCGCTCGACTTGAATGCAAAATGTTGTACAACGTTGGTCTCTTTACCAATACTGCTCTTTCAACATGTTGTTTACACCTCATAAGAATGGTCAATTTTTGTCGAACTTAAATTTAAAGAAAAGTAAAGACAGGTGCTTTGAATTATTTCTTGACAAGAATATCAATACATTAACTTCTGAGTTGATCCTAACTTTGATGGAGGTGAAGGCTCCGCCTCCTTTGCAGATCAACATTTAATTCACGTTAATCTACGTTACTGCCTTTTAATGATCCTTAGATGTATCCTTTTTAGGCCCAAAAAAGGGAGACAAATTTGCACCAGCCAAGAGGCAAATATGCATGTGCTTCTAACTTTGAACCCCACCAGGTCGGTGGATGCACTGCGTCCCGCCATTTATCACCGAGACTAACATGCATGTATGTGCAGCCAACAGGGCAGATGCGGGCACACAGGAGCCCTATAAAATGTCTTTTTAAAGGCAAAATAATTTCACTATATCACCGCCATGAGAGTTAGGATAGAATGGCGGTGAGGGATTAGTGGTGGACCAATGTGTCTCGCCTCGCCTCGAAGTGGAGGGAAGTCTTGGGCCGTTCAGATTAAACTACGGTGGTTGAGTCTTTGTCAAACCAGATCGTGTTGAATGTCCACAAAAGATCTCCAGTTGGTGAATACTTTGCACGTTTTACAGTACCTGCATGACTACGGTAGTTTATATTCAACTCTTTCATTATTTTTTTTATATATAATCGTGAACTGATAACGCAGTGTACAGTGAGGAATGCAGTAGTGGAGTGCTGACGAGTGTGCAGGGAAGCAAGGGGAAGAGAGGAGAAGATAAGGATCCTTGAAGAAGTGGGAAGGGGGACCTAGGAAGACGCGGCACTTTTACTATCGCCTTGACCACTTTCATTGGATGGACGGACTGGCGGCTTTGAGACGGAGATCAAAGTGGAAGTGGGTGTTGACAGAGCCGATCCGGTATGGTGGGAGACGGCGGTTGGACTGCTTGCTCTTATAGCCACCTGTCCGACCTCCGTAGAGCCGACGGGAACATAAATGACCCCCGCCGATGGGAGGCACTTCTGGCGCTGAACACCTTCAAGGACGACAAAGAACTGTATACAGAAGTGCATAAAAGTTTATTGTTCGCGAGTTTGGAGACAGTTAGTTGGTAAAATTAGACAGAGGTGTTCTGCTTATTGCCGAAGATTGTAAGGGGGACTTGGAGAGATCTTAAAGAAAGAAGAAAGAAGTTCTAGCCGCGTAAAACAAATCACCCGAAATTTCCGTTCCCACTTATCGTATGCCACAAGAAGTGCTAGAAGCAGTAATACAACCAAGAAACGTTTGTTAGAAACTTTACAATATCTGAATTTCTCAAACTCTACCGTCCTTCTATTTGCCACACTCGTACTCTATTTCCACCTCATCTGTCTACTTCCTGATCAGAAAGAGTCTTATTGGGTAATTGAATTTATTTGCTGGTGCTTTATTTAATTTTGAGTTTCAACAAGTGAACACAGGGGAACAGTCGACATTAAACAATCCTTTTGCTGAAAAACCTTAGACTTTTGCCAATGATATGTCCACAACGGATGCAGTTCAAACCACTCCTGTGACGGCGTTTAAGGCGCTGGAAGCGGAGGCAGAGAAAGAGGAGTCGGTGGCAGTGAAGAGGGAGAGAAAAAGTGTTAGATTTAGTGTAAGGTGAATATTCTGTTAATTTATCAAAATGCTACACAGCATAGACAGCGCATTACTTGCATTGGTGTAACAAAACGAAGTAAACAATTGCACAGCTCCGCAAATAGGCCTGACAACTTGAACTTTTGGAAACAGCTGCTTCGAGAAAGCCGCAAATATGTTTTTACCCCAAGAAGAGTGTGTCTGCGTAACAACGTCAGTCACCAGGACTGCAGTAGGCTCCCCATCGCCTTCACCTTCCTCCGCCTCCCCCACGCCCCTTCAGTTCTGCTAGGCCCAACATCTAAAGGATATCAGCGGGCTTTTGTTCGCAATGTCAATTAAGCCATTTTCACCACTTTTCCCAGATTGCTGATTTCTTGTTCTTGGGATAAAACCAGCGCGAATAATGCATTTTGGCCTCTCGTTTGTTGACCAAAGCGCCTTGGTTTAGAGAAGGGTGGAGGAAATATCAAAAACATTGCGATTTTGGAACAATGATAGTTCTACTGTTTCTTTTTTACGTTCCTTAATTGCCTCTTAAGGCGATAGGCGGACCGGAAGCGGCTGAAGACCAGTGAAAGGAAAACAAAAGAACTTGGCAGGTGTCTGTCTCTGGATAAAAGTAAAGCGTTCATGAAGAAAAGTATTTGGTCATCCTTTTAACAATACCGTGTGCAAAAGAGTAGCCTGTGTAATATATACTAGATTGTTTAAGTGGACCTTTATGGGAGAGAGGCGGGAATCAAAATGGAACGCGAATCACGTGCACGAGGACCGTGAGGAATCTCTCTCCGGTTGGTATCTTCAACTCCCCATTCTTCCTGTATCCAATGTCTAATAAATCGTCTGCAACTAACCCTCCCTTGAAGTCCGCGGTTCAGGGGCCTGAGGGCAGGTAGGCAGTTCCTGCAGCCTCTTTTCAAATCTCGCATTTATAAGGTTTAAGGGATAAGGAAATGTTTGTAATATTTTGCTGGAAATCTTTCACTTTGTTTAAATTTTTGCTGAATCCCTATAGTTGAATAGCTGTTGCCATAAGTACAAAGGAGGAGTAAAACAAAACCAAATTGAATCACTTAAACTAGAACTAATAACTGACACATTGTAAAATCGTTAAGCAGAGAATTTGTTGCAGCGGTTCGCAGCATTAAAAGAGGAAAAAATGGAATCAAGCAAGTAATTGTAGTGAAGTCTTTAGACAGCGGGAGTCTTTGGAGTTTGTTCAACTGTCACCCTATGACATTTGAGACCACCTATAACCCTCGATAAAAGTCATTTTAGTGAAATCAATTCCACCTTGCCCTATGTGCCACATTGTTGTGTACTTGAGGGCGCAAGGGAAGGGGTTGATGGAGTGTCAATACAAACTCGCATAGTTGCTATGCTAATTTCAAGTGCTTAAGTGTTACAACGTACATTTCTCAAATCAGTGCAAGAATTATAAGCAGAACAAAAAAATAAGAGCGTTCGACTAACAAATTTAAAATTCAAAAAGAAAGAAAAATCTTATGTGAACGAAAAATAGCGTTTTACGGATGTTGGGATGTGCAATCGAGGTAGTGGAAGTGACTGCCGATAAGAAAGCATTACGAAATAAAATTACTGAGTGGTTTTTAGTCAAACCACTTATAAAAGAGTTGAGGAAGGCATAAAGGTTCTAGCAACACATATTTTTTAAGATCAAATTTAGTTCATTGTGTACTTCATAGGGGCGTTTTTCCTCCTTTTTGATAGGCACACAAAGGAGTGTAATAAGTCAACAAATTGCCCTTAGAGACTTTCAAAAAGGAACGTTTGTTTGCTGCCTTTTGCCTAATGGCACCAAATTTTAGGTTGCAAGGATTTTATGGGCGGTTAGGACTGTTCAATAGTTTTGAAGTTAAGCAGTCTCAAAAGCTCACTTTGCTTCAGCCAACTCCTTACTGCTTAAGTCCAGCCTCCATGCACGCAACTTTGACTGGGATGCCTACGTATCTATGACACTGGCAATTGTGGCCCAGTTATGAAAATTAATGGCCGTTGACAACCACACTAAATGTTTCTGAATTCCTTTATCTCGGCAATATCAATTGGCTTCATGGGATATGGTGAGGCGGTTCTAACGAAAATTGATACAATTCAACCACAAAGTCGGCTGCAATGTCGATAAATTTGAAGTATAAGCCAAATGGAACAATAAACGAAGGTAGAATTTGAAATACTGCTGTTGGTTCACAGACTTACCTTCCTGACTTAAGACGTCATCATCGCTCTGACCTTTGCCCGAATCCGCGCTTGACTTGTCGGCGTCGGGGATCATGCAAGCCATCAAAATGCCCTGAAAATGGTATAAAAGTATGTGTGGTACTTAGTTGACGTGACTGCTTGATGTCTGGAGGCTAATTTGGCTTTTTGTTGTGCCCTTGTATTAGTGGGCTGCTTTTCAGCCATACTGAGGCTCAATCCCTTCTTATCCTCCTCGAATACATGCTTTCAGTCCAACTTAATGCCTTCTTCTAACCTGTGAGAAGTCTTGGTCTCTAGAATATATTTCTAAAGTAAGGCACAAAAGCCAGTACGTAAACGTGGGTTCGATTTCAGTAGATATCCTGTAGTTACTTGGCTGTGCGATAAAAGACAGACTTCTATTGCCACACATCACTCTGTACAATTTTTCCTTTAGACTTGCAAACTGCTCTTATTCAAGTCAATCACATAAGCTGAGGGTTCGCCTTTTTGGCATATGCTCTCGTTTAAATGCGCTTCAGGCTTAAATTATATGACAGTCACAAGGACATCACCTAATCTGAATGTGTACAACTAAGGGAATGATGTTGTCACGCGATAGTACAACAAAGATGTGTTGGTGAGATTTGTCTAAATAATGAAGATGTCTGGACAGAAAATACAGAAATCGTGCAAGCTGGATCGAGTTGGCGGTAGCCAATGATTGTAAAATTAGGCTCAAGGTAAGGCGTGCATGCATCCAACCTCATAAATCATACCAACGACATGAAAAGTCAGCATGCATCAAAAACTCTACTGTTTGAAGATTATGGAGGGAAATGGGGCTGCGAGAATAGGTAGAATGGAAAGTGTAAGCCAAAAAATATAACTTGGCTTCAACGCCCAATACTTTAGTGACTGCCAGATAAAGTTAGTTTCTTTACCTACGAATTAAGGAGGATCATGGAGAGTACATCCGAAGATTTCTCGACTAATTGTCTACTTCCTCTCCCTTCAAATAAGCTACTTTTAAACTGTGAAGTTTGACGGAGGGTGACGAATTGTTTGGAAGTATTGTGAATATTCGAACGGACCTTTAAACAAGTTATGGTAATTGAGACAGTTTGACAACAGCAGTTAGCCATGAACAGAAGCAGAATGCTTATTACGCCGCAGAGTTTACCATTTTTTCAAAACCTTCAAAACTGTACGATCCGACCAACAAATGCCATCGGCGATATGCTGCGATAATAAGGGTTAGAACATCCAAAGCCAAAGCGGGTGTTAAGGAACCAGATACAGCTATGCAATGCAGACTAATGCATGTACTGCCGGCATCTGTCTCTTACGGGGTGTGTGTGTTGTACCAAAGAGAAGATAACATTTTGATCTAGTCAAACAACGACAAACAGTTGGTGCAAATGAAGAGATTATTTGCATGAGAAAAATTCAAATGGTAAAGTCTAATCATTGTACCGAAGTGTTGGATAATTGGTGCCATTTGAACAGAACAACTTTTAACACTTACAGATTCAGAAACAGGTTGATGATAATTTACAGTGGAGGTGGCGATGTTGGGTTTCGGCAGCGGAACAAGTATGGTTCCTTCCAGTTCTGGAATGCTGGTCAAGCGAATCACTGCATCTCCCGCCGTCGTTGAAGCAGTCGGTTCCCCAACCAGAGGCTTTAAGTAGATTGGGTAGACAACCTTTCCGTCTGATGGCACATCTCCACTGTGCACAGAGGCAGTGTCGTCCAAATGGATACCCGTTATGGTGTGAATGAAGTCGTTGCCACTGGGTGGTCTCAGCCGCTGGTGTGAGGAGAGGGTTCTGGCATCAGTTGAATAAATCATTTGTGACGATGAAGGTGTTGGGGATTTTGTACGGCCTGTACAGACATCTACAGACGAGAAGCGATTTGTTCCTATCTCCGCCTGCAGCAAGTCTAATTCATTTAGAACGCATGACTCCTTGAAGCCACTTCGACGTGGATGTCTTCCTCGTCGAGATCGAATGACAAAGAGAAGGGTGGTTACCAGGCAACAGCAAAGAAGTATAGCTGCTACCGGAATCACGATCATCAGCACAAAAATATACATCCTCTTTGTACCAGCCAATTCTGCACTCTCTTCAGCGGTGGAGGAGCTAGCAGCGTCAGTCTGAACAAGACTTTCACGTGTTTGTGATTCTGGGTTGGGTGGTTTGTTCCCGAAAGCTTCGTCAGCTTGTGTGAGGAATGTAGACTCAGGAGGAATATTTAATACCTCTGATCCAGCCTTAAATTCGAGGAAGAACTCTGCATCTTTTGACAGTGGTGGTGTGCCCCCATCAGTGGCTCGAAGGAGGAGACGAACCGAATCTCCTGGTTTGATACAGGGACTTATTCCCTCCCGCATTCTGAGATGACCAGTTGTGCTTTCGAGGGAGAAGAGAGCAAAGAGGTCGCAAGTGCGTTCGTGACTGAAATGGACAAAAGAGGAGTCCTCCAAGGAGTAGACAATGCGTGCATTCTTGCCACTGTCAGCGTCCACAGCACGCACTCGTGTGATGATTCGCGTGGCGGGAAAATCCACCCCAATTTGAATGCGGGAGTCGTCGGGTGCTCGTGGGTACAACCATATAGGAGCGTTGTCATTCTCGTCGATTAATTCGATAGTCAAAGTAGTTCTGTGTGGAAAACAAATTGTTTCAACTCAACTCAAAGGACTTATAAAACCCCGAACACTTTTTTTAAAGTTGCTAAAACTGATGGAAATGTTTGCATATTTGGTGTTCATTGAAATCTTGCTTTATGGGATGCGTGCAATCTCAACTTCTAAGGCCGTATCAAAGCATTTTTTTTGTCCAGAAAGTTATTTTTTTAAAAGGCTGCTTTATAGTTAGTCTTTTCGAGGTCGTACAATCCGGACTAAAACGTTCTGCGATGTTTAGACGGTTTGTTTATTTCTGCTTGTGATTACGCGGGTGGGTTGTACTTCCGCTCAGCGGTACGACATCCGGGTTGTGTCAGCAGGTTCTCGGTCCTTCTATACGTCAATTATACGTTTGCCGTCCCACACACACTACTTTTTTCGTGATTTTAGGGAAGACTAGGGAAATTACACTACTTTCCAATCGTCTCTCGCTAAGTTGTTATACAACAAACTTGTTTTCTTTTGCGAACACAACAAAGCAAACAGATAACAGACACGTCTTAGCGCCTTCCTCCGTTCAATGTTCCTCCCACTTCTACTCACAAAAATGGCAAGCCCACAACTTTCAATTAGGACATAAATGATTGTGTTTACTCTGTTGGAGGCCCCGTTCTCTGGCAAGGCATTAACTCACCTACATTGGCCCACTGGCTGATTAAGTCTCTACAACTTTGCTCTTTTGATGCTTCCTCTACCAACGCGGGAGGTCAGTGATTCAACGCCCTTGCGTTCAGATGGATGGAGGAGCGCACTTTTAACAAATTCTCAGTCAACTGATGGACGCTATGCACATCGCTTGGAGGGCTACAGGCCATCAACTCGACAAAACAGTATGAAGAGAATCAAGGCTCCTTCTTTATGGTGTAAACAAAGAGTTGGTGAATTCGGAATGTTCGAAAACAAAGGCTGTCTCTCATTTAATCAAAAAGCAGGACTCTATTCACCGCGGTTTCCAGGAAAGGCTAACAACTTAAAGCTTACGTTTTGTCTCCAAATACTCACATTTTTGCAAATACCACAGCCAAGTAAAATACAAATTCAAAAATAAGCAGATAAATGATGTGTATGGTAGCATATTTTTCTTTGACTGCAGAAAATTGTACCTCAATGAAAAAAAGTGCCCTAACTAGACTTCACCTTAGTGGCGTGTGAATTAAATCTGCAAGCACCTCGATGCGATTAAGCAGAAATTAAGAGGCGCCTTCTTTTAGACCTTGAAGGAAGGACTGAGTGACTATTAAAATGCATGCCCTTGTAGGCACCAAAAAGTCCAAACAAATGAAATGTTTAAAACGAAATCGGTTACGACATTTTGTTTAAAAAAAAAGGGAAATTAAGCAGCACTGAGCACGCAGATTAAGCTTAGCTTGTTTATTCTACCGTGCGTCAGTCGGCCTTATCGTCGGGCTTCAGTCCACTCCAGCCAGCCATGAGGACAGACAGCGTCTCTAAGTCGTGCATCTTAAAGTGGACGGGTCTTCGCGGAGCACCAAGAGGCCCAATGCCTCACTTACTTCGCCCAACTTTTAAGGGCGACTTTAAAAACACCGAACTGCGTTGCATTTTTGAAAAGTGTGAGGTATGTAGTAAGTATGACAAATAGAAGGGAAGTGATTTTAATTGCATCGAATCACGCTATTTGATTAATGTTTTCACTTTACATTCGACCAGTTTTTAAGGTAAAATTTAATAAAATATGAAGACATTTTCCAAGTTTTTTTTTTCGTAACGGCACGAAACCTGACTTATTTGTGCAATTTTAGCATTAATTTCTAGGCAACTGCATACCCACTGATTGCAGTCCACATAAAAGCGCCTTTCCGCTTTTAATGGTCAAATTAAAACAAGGGCGCAGCCACGAACGAGGCACTTAAACCTTAGCGATGTAAATTCTCCTTCCAAAGGGCAGCACTTACGTTGAAGTGAGTCTACTTGATATTTCTCCGTCCTCAGCCGTGATAGTGCACACGTAGGCGGATTCCATCTCCCTGTCAAGGCTGCTAATGGTCCAGCACTTCCCATTCTTCTTATCTACCTCAAAAACCGGTTTCACCTGAACCTGTTTTGGGGCCGGTGTATGTGCTGCTGTCAAAGGCCGGCCCGTGGGCCGCGGAACGCATCCCTCTAAACGAATTGTGGAGTTCTCACTGCCATCGGGGTCATGAGTGCGAAGTTGCATAAAAATGGTGCCTTTGTGCAAATTCTCGGGAATACGAATCACCGTCTCCTCCTCCATTGCCAGACTGCCCACAAGAATGTGAGGGGGAAGAAAGTGGGGTGGATTGTCGTTCACATTCTGCACATCGACAATCACTTGACAGGTGCTTGTCAATGTCACATTATCCACTCCTCTATTGATTGCTGTCACCTTAAAAGTTGTTTAAAAAAGTTGTGAGACGAGTTCATCCAAACACCAGAACAATCTAAATTTCGATACATAATTCGATAATTTTCTAAGAAATTTCTTGTCGGATGGTAAGGAAAGCAATATGGACGCCAGCAAATGCCCTTCCACAAATGGCATTAAAAAATCCTCCAGGCGTTTAAGTTAAAAGACCAAATCCGGTGACCAACTGTCGAGATATGTTCTCCATAAATACCTCACAATGCTACGCCATTTGCGTATCTTCCAAACTGAAGAGCCCGAAAGTACAAATTCCTTCTAGCGCGTTTTGATGTCTTTCTAAGTCGATTTACCAGGGCTTGTGTTACTCGACCGAATACAATCCACTTAGGTAACTTCCAAAGTTGAAGTATCGCCCAATCAATGGCAGAGGTGTATTCCGACCTTTAAAAGAAAGCATCATTGGGTTTATGCAATGAATGGGTGGTTGTTTAACCCCCAACTAGGTTTTGCAAGTGACAAAGTCTTCAGCGTTGACTTCCTTGTGACGACACAGCCCCAGAGCCTTGCCAATGGCTTTTGGACGAAGCGTGAAAGACTAGGGCCAATGAATAAGAACAAATAACTCGGTTTCTATTGTAGAGCATTGCATATCCGAGAACCCGACGTGCTGCTTTTGGCAGTTACCTCACTTCTGTGTTCTGGAAGGGTGCTGTTGATATGTACAGCTTCTCAGGCTTCCTTGATACGGTATTCAGATGTCAAGGAAATGAAAGTACAACATCTCCTCCACTTCTCTGTCTATTCAAATGGAATCTGCGGAGATGCTATTCAACCGCACTGGATAGGATTTCGTCTCTACGAAATCACCCTAAACACCATCTTTTATTGAACGGCCTTGCCCTTATATCAGTGTTCTACCGACCATCGATAGCCACTTTCAAAACAAGTAGATTAGTGACGTTGCAGTCAAATGTCTTTCAGGTTGCACAAAATTGTGATGGGTGGCGCAGACGATTAGTGAAGGTCCTCCTTCCATTATCAACCTCTTTGTGAGAATCGATGAGAAAGGTGAATCAAAAGAAACATTTAAGACGACGTAGACACTCAAGACTACGTCATCCCCTCTGTAGGTTGATAGTATACAGTTTACCGCAGTTTTGCACACTCCACACTCTTAGCCAAGCTTTTCTCAAAAGTCTCTCCGCGTTGGTCAACACGTAAGGTCAAAAGTGCACCGTGTCACATCACCCTTACCAAATGGCCTGAAATAGTTTGAGCCTCTCAGTAAGTACGGGAAAAGCACACAAGCAGCCAGGAGGTGGGTATTCACTCTTGATTAATGCCTGAAAAGAGTGGATCACAGTTGCCAACCTAATGGATGCATTGTCTGTTCCAACTTCTCCTTCCACTTGCACAGAAGTTTGTCCACAATCAACGCATAAAACCGCTTTAAAAAGGTGACATATTTTTAGTAAAAAGAAGTGCTATTGCCTGCAAATTGAAGGTTCACGCCACACGAAAGGTTGCTACACCAATTCAAAGCAGACTTTCATGCAGTTTTGATGTTTCTTTTACCGCCTAACGAAGAGCCATCAAAATGAAGGAAAGTTGTGCATATAATAACAAGGAAGAAAGCGGGGCCAGAGTTTTGGGAAATACAAGACGAATCCACTTAGGAGAGGTTGGTGGACGCACTCGGAGGTAGCCGAACCTCAGCGATTACCTTTTTACACACCGTAAAATACGGCACTATATTTCCTCTTAAAAAAGGTTTAAAAATCCTTCTAAAAATCAAAAATAGAAACATGTAGACTTTGGTGGTTATCAAAGTGTCCAAGTTATTTTTTGATGTATGTTGGCCAAGATTTTGAAGTGGTAAGAAAAATGCATTAGTATATAACAATTGACGAACCAAATGGAAACAACTCTGTTTGTCCAGGCAGTCCCATGGACGAGACAGTCGCACCTTTTTTCCACAGCCACGAGACAATAGAAAGGAGTTCATTGCTCTCACTTCAGGTAATCAAAGCTTAACATATGCTAGAAGTTTTGCTGTCATGGTTGACAAAGACCCAAAGTGGGGGTCGGTAGGGAGAGGAGGAATGAGGAAGAGACTATGAGAGAGAGGGAGCGAAAGCAAAGAGCGAACTGTCAACTACAAAAATGCACCTGTTTATTGTCCGAAAAGAATGACATTTATTAATATTCCGCAAAGGATTGCAAGGCACTTTGAGTGAGTTCGGTGAGATGGATGCTACTGAAGTGGCCAAAGTTTATCCTCACTTCTATCGCCATGGAAGTGAAGAGTTTGAGGGTTTGTGTTTGTGTCAGGCAGACTTCAATTCCTGAAGGTAGTCAGAACCTACTGGATAAAAAAGGTAGTCTAGTTTTTGCTACTTTCTTGAAAGGAGGTGGTGAGGAAGAGCTGCTCCAGACTCCTTTACCGAAATCAGAAGTCGACCAAACAAATGAAGTATTGCAATGTCAAAGAAGTTCATTTCTGACTCAGACGTCAACAAGATCTCCAAAGCATCGAGGGGAGGAGGTGAGCCAATTTCCACCCCTTTCCTCCGAAGGAGAAATGAGAAGATGGAATATGACTGTTACCCTTCTTGCTGAAGATTATATTGTCAAGTTTTTTGGCTTCTGCTTCCGTTTAATCATAGCAACTTTTAAAAATATTATTTTTTAAATTCGTGTTTGCAGGAAGACGGTAAGAATCACCCTGGCTCAACAATCATGGAAAAACTGGAATGAAGGAACTCAGTATAGGCAAACGCGCCCAAACAAAAGGCTTCCTTAAACTTAGTCAAAATAGCATAATTTTAGAGCAATGAAGGTAAAAAGTCCACCTAGCAAGGTTACTTGGCATTGAAATGAAGGATTTGGGGGATGACAATACCGTCTCCAAAGAAACCGAGACCACCAATGTTGCACATCTTTGAGACGACATTTCAGTGTAAAAAAGGGGAAAGTCTTGTGAGTGTATCTTTTACATTCGAGAGTGGTAAATATACAAAAAAGGCATTGATAAGTTCCAAGCCATCAAAATGATGAGTACATTGTTGAGTACTGCCAAAACTGCTGTTTATTTTCATAATTAACATCACTAAGAGTGTGGACAGATGAGAATCGACAAAAGCAGAATAGTTGTGAAGACCTCCTCACAAAAGTATGTTGTCTGGAGCCCCCGCCAGACGATCTGGTTCCCCACGGCAGGTCGACACTGGCCAGCCTGTCCCAGCATCATGTCGTTTGCGCTTGCAGAGGAAGTCCTCACGCGCTACACATGCAATTTTAGCGATTCAGAATTGCACTGCAACAGCAGGCAATAAATTTGCGGTTTGCTCAATTCAAAACTTATTTTTTTCCCCATCATAAGCCTTAAAATTTTTAATTATTTGAATTGACAACCAGACATTGTCATAAATTTTGGAGTCGACTGGACACAGACCCATTTAATGTCTGCGACTGAAGCCTATTTTACAATTCTTTCGGGATTTTCCAGACCAAAGTGAAACGGGTTCGTAGTAAAACACATGCAACTGAGAGGAGGAACTTCAAAGACACCGAGCAGACAGTATTTGACGTCGTCAACATGTTGAAATCCCACTCACACAAGTGGCGACACTGTTGTGCCCATTTACCAACATAGTGGAAGACGAATTGCAGGCTGACGATGGTTGATAAGTTGGTGGATACGCATTGGAGAGTGATCTCTAGGTCTGGACTGTGAGTCAGTTCATTCAAAATGCGTACATTGAAGAGTTTAACACCATGCGCAGACACATGTAAGCGGTGCAAGGGTTTGCCACCTACAGCGGTGCGATAATTTGGTTTCGCCTAGATATGCTATACAATGCAAAAGGAGTCATTTTTGGTTCCATGCAACGAGGTTAAAGCGAATTTAGGCATTGCCAACCGAAGGAAAGCATGTGATCACCGCAAAAGGTGGCCAAAAAGCGTCAGTGCACAGGCAAGGTACGCAAAGAAAGGAGCCAGAAAACGCAGAAATTCGTCGCTCCCTCTGTATCCTAGTTGAATCGAGTAAGCAGAATTCTAGTAATAGGATGATAAACATCTCCTTTTGCAAGAGATAAATGAAGGCTTGACATTCTAAATCTTGGGAATCAATGGACAGGATGTTGATCCTGGTTGTAATGCTGAAATTGTTTGTCAAATCCCTCTTTGCGTCTCCACATGCACTTGCGGCTCTGTCTTTGTAATTCCGCTGGAGAATAATGGGTGCTACTGCCTTGGCAGCAGCAGAAAGCAGTCACCCTATTTTTTATCACAAAAGCACTTAACCATTGGGTAATAGAAGAAGGACAATCTCAGTATTGTTAGGCGGTCCTCTTAACAGATTCGGAGCAAGGCAGAGTAGCAAACCACTGGAAAAGGTAGTTACAAAGGTGTCGATGATATTTGGACGAGGATGTCAATTGAGCCAAAACACAATGCCTTCTCCACCCCTCATTCATTTGGATGAAACCCAATTGGCCATGACTTGAGCCCCATCCTAACAATGCCAGTAGCCTTCTTATCCTCGGTAGTACTCCTTCCGCTTCGGTAAAATGCTTTCTTTCAAACTCAGCATAATAATATTAAGAAGTCCAAAATGGTAGAACTTAAAAAAATTTATTCCTTCACCTAAACGTTGCTACCATGATACTAAAAGGATTGATAAGGTGACTTGTCAGGCGACAAGAACTACTGGCCTCGTGCTTTACAGCGGTGACATGAAGGTGAGTAACCCACAGCGCCACCAAGAATGACAGAGCACAAGTAATTAAGGTCGTATTTCGTCCATTTAATTGAATTCTGAGTACCAAATACAACACCAGTCCTGTTGCCTGAAAGTCGTTACCACTGATGAATGGGCAGTGATGCGCTTATACCCTACAAAGTGGTCTTCAATGCATTTTATTGTAGCAAATATGTACTTAATAGTCTGTAAATTAATGATGAGATCTACTTGATGCAATCTTAAAGACATCAATGGAGAGGACCACTAGGCGACATTTCTCGAATCAAATGGGAAAGGAGGCGACCGGAGTGGAATTTTCAAAAAGTCGGCCATCGTTCTCAAGGGAATTAGAGGAATTCGTCTCTGCTAAAGCGGGTCCTCCCTCTGACATGCCGTTCAGCAGGCACTATCGCACCTACCACCTTTCCAGGTCAAGAACTCATTAAGCAGGTAAGGCACTCTTCCTTAAGTGAACTACTGCTACTGACAGTGGACATCGGAGAGTAAAGGTGCTGTCACAGCGCCTGTCTATTATCTTCTCTTCTCATCAGAATGCAAAATTAGCTATAAACACCCTGCAACTTGGTTGCTATAAATTGTGCTTTACTGAAAAGGCAAACCTTGCTGACTGTCGCAGACGAAAAAAAGTATTTTCTTCGAGTAGCAGAATGTGTTAGGAGGAAGAAACTAGGCAGCTTTGAGAAGTGTTGTAACTTATGCCAATGAAATGCCTTAAATGTGTACTGTAAAGGGAATGAAATCAATCAGTTTGCTTCAGAAAAACAACTAAAAGCGATCCAGGAGATACAATTAGTTCGGCATGAATGTAGGGCTTACACGAAGCACTCACTTTGAATGAATATTCCGTCTTGTTCTCAGCATCCAGCTCGCCCGCCGCGTATATCCTTCCCGAATAGGCATCAATGGCAAATGGTAAATCCTCCTGCTTTTCCAACTCGTATCGAAGGGTTTGTTCAGAATGCACAGGAGCAAAGTGCTTCAAATTATGCTGCTCACTCGGAGTTAGCCCCTGCAACACGGAGTCAGCATCCGTGACAGAGACCTGAAGGATGTTAGAGCCGACTGGAGCACTCTCCTTCACCTCCGTACGATAGACCTCCTTTTCGAACACGGGAGGAAATTCATTGGTGTCAAGAATCTCCACAAACACATTATGAAAGGACTTTCTAACTGGACTGCCAAAGTCACGACACTCAATCTTAATGGGAATAGTCCAAGCCGAATTGCAAATGGATCGACCCTTTGAATGGGAATGGATTTCGCAATCCAAAGCCGTTTCAAGTACAAGTTTATATACAGCCTTACTGCTGGAGATTTGATGCTCCAGCACAAGTTTTATACTCTCTCCAAATGGAATTTCAGGATATGTGTGCAACTGGCAATTCACTTGAGCATTCTCACCCACATCAGCATCGGAGACGTGAATGAATGCCACATTGGTGGGTGCCATGTTATCTTCAAAGATTTGAATGAGGCTGCTCCCCTCATCATTCTCTTCGCACACTTTGCTGTCTCTAATCCCAGCAAATGTACACGGCACCTTTGTTACCCTCGAGAGCACTGAGCGTACTGACAGTATGGGTGCATCTCTATCTACAGCATTCTTGATTTTGCTAGCCGCAGGAAGGATGATAATCTTTGGAGAGTGATTGTTTACATCAATAACGTAGATGGACAGGGTTGACCTGCTCATTCGAGACTCGGGTTCACCTCTGTCCCGTGCCTCCACCCAAAAGTGAAATTTTGTTCCACCCTGGAGTTGGGAAATGAGAAATAGCTCTCCAGTGTTTGGATCCAACCGAAAGTGCCTTTGACTGCTCAGACTGTCGGACATATCGCCTACAAGGGCATACCGAATACTTCCAAAAGCTCCACTATCCGCATCTGTTGCATTCAATTTGATAATACGACTACCGATGGAAGTGTCTTCACGCAAGGCAAGAGAGGCATTTTCGTTTAGAAATACTGGGGCGTTATCATTTACATCATGGACAGTAATACAGAGAGGCATAGTAGAACAGAGGATTGGTGTTCCATTGTCGCACACTGTGAACGTACAATTGTAGGCACTCTGTTCTTCGTGATCCAATGGATACCGTAATTGCAACCGAATTGAACTAATGCCATTGCTGTCATCAGAATCCGGTACTGATCTGCGGGCTTGATAAAGTGCAAAGGGGTGATTTGTTGGTCCATTCTGACAGTTTAAATGGTAAATCAATTGACCATTTTGTAAACCGTCAAGATCTTTGGCATCGGGAAGGTAAATTTTGGTGCCAACTGGGGTATCCTCTGGCAGATCAATAGTTCTGCAGCCCTTTGTGCTGCCATCATTAAATTGGGGGGCACAGTCGTTGACATCATTAATAACGATTTTTACCTTGATCCAAGACTGTTCAGGTGGGAGTGGTGGAGCTGATTTATTGTGCCGAGCAATCGAAACTCCGTAATTAAGGCTGCACTCCTTTTCCGTCGCGGAAGCGAAAGGACAGAGTCGTTCACGATCCAGCTTGGAAGAATCCGCCACACTAATAGCAGAGGATATGGGATCCATTGTAAAAACAGGGTCTGACTCATTTGTTGACTGGGATGACAATAACTCTTCTTCTAAATCCGGCGCAAGTCCCAAGTTGTATATTTGGTAACGTAAGTCGTCATCCGATTTCAGGAATGGTAGATACTGTTTCAGAACTCCAACAACCGTTCCTGATTTGGCATTTTCAGTAACAAAAAGAGAGACTTCGGTAAAGTCAGGCGTTTCAGCCTTTCTGATCCGGGGAATGTTAAAACCAAGAGCTCCGTAAGGCTGCCACGGTAAAGTCATTAATAGCAGAATCAGGAGAGGTGAAGAGGTATCACCGAAGGCTGATTGTACTAGTGGGAGGAAACTTCGCATCTAGCATGGAAAATGGTTAATGTTTTTTCATAGTGGGAATGAAAATGTGTAGCTTTTGTTCTAAGCTGAATTAACGGTACAGAAAGCTGTCGAGACTTCGGAAATCCCATGGGCATACAATTTACCTTAGCGTAGTCGACTCTGGTTGGCTCGAGAGCTAAGCCAATCAGGACTAAGCAGTCCAGTCGACCAATAAAATGCTGCGATGCCACGTGCGTTTGGGAAGCACCAACAGGACCAAAGTAAATAAACGTTTGACACAACATTAGTGCAAAGATTCACGAAATTATATATATATGCGTGGAAAGTTAACGATTGGACACAAACACAAAATTAGTGTTGGTGTCCACGGAAGATTTCATCAACATTGGTTTAAAAATGGTTATCTGATAGGTGGGAAACCAGCAATACATGTACCACTTTACAATTATGGGTGAATGCTATTCATAATATTTGTGGAACAGTATGGTAAGGTATGCTAAAATGTTCAACAAAAGGCAGATTATAGGCGTATTTGGTGCATTCCATTCTGATTTGGTTCTGATTCAAAGATCAACTTGACAAACCACCTCAGGCTACTTTGCACCTTTAGCTTTAATACTTCTCAACCGCGCGACCATTCAAAGCTTGAAGGCACAATGGTGGAAAATGTTAAGATGAACGTGGTTAAGACTTGTTTACTTCCTATCTCCTTAGTCACATGTCTGTTTGTCTTTCTCTCTCCCCCTTTCCCCATTTCCACTTTCCTGCATTAATTTACTCTTATTCATCTTAGTGGTCAGTTTTTACATTGTGTGACATTTTTATGGTGAGATCCTGCGCTATGCTACCCGGTAAGAATGGCAAATCAAACTGACTGTCTTCCATTGACGCATAATCCTAGAGTACCAATTCTAGATAGAATAGATCTGCAGATGAAGCCTATTATCAGCTGTGGTTAGACTTTCTGCTTCCTATCCCATACCATACGAACACGATGTGTTGCTGTGTGCCTGGCAGCCAAGAGATGACCAGTATCACAAACTTCAAGCGTCACTTCGCATCCCAAACAAGTTCAAAGTATTATTACTTATAAAGACGAGGAAAGTCAAGAACAAATAACGCTTAATGAAACATTATTAACGCAATTTAATGCTTAGTGAGTTACCTCTTCATTATGCTTGACCAAACTACAGTTAAATAATTTAACCACCGTCATCATTAAGCTCAATGGCAGAGTAGGCTTGAGAGATGGATAGTTAATTGCTGTAAGCCATGGCGTTAAGTGGATAACCAGTCAACTCGGAAATGTAGATAATCCAAATGATGGACATTCTTTGAGTACTTTAACGTCACACTTATCCCACCACTTTGTTCCTTACCTCGTCTAAGTGGCGCACCGTTGGACCAACCTCTGTCTGCAAATGACCAGTTTCAAAATCTGCCCACCGACCAGTGCGTTAATGCAGATCTATGCGACGGATTGAAGAGATATCATCGTCTATTGCGAAAAAAGAAACTCCTTCTGGTAAAGTGAATCAGCTTCCAACTTGTGTACTTATTCCACGGGTTTGGAGTAAGAAAAGTGAAGGGAGCACAAGACCCATAGTACATGTCTGAACTCTCAGGAGCCGAAAGTGATGCAGCCATTTTGGAGCCATTTTTAAATATGAGTTTTCTTGAAGTGGAATGAGATTTGCCTCCCCCCTCCCCCTCCCCACAAAGCCTTTACTGCACCATGCCCAGAGGGCACATGTGAGGTTGAATGCGTTCGGGTAGCCTCGACGAATTCGAGAAGGAAATCGTTGACACAAGATTACAGGCAATCAATAGAGATTAGGCAGATATATTGTCGATGCATCGCAGAACTGCTTCGCTTTGTGAAGTTGCATGGAGTTGAATTAAGGGTAAAAGCTAGCCTTTTGGCCATCATTCTAACTCTCGACATTTTGTTTACGCCAGCACCAGGTGCTTCGGGTTCTTTCTGTTCGGCCCTTACATTGTCCTCATTCGTCTGCTGTGAAGACTTGAAGGGGATGGTCAGAGCCGAATTCTACACGAAGAGTTGAAATTGAAGCATAACTCTGACAACTCTCCAGCCTACAAAGTCGTAAGCCACATCAAATAATTTATCAGAGCGCTTTTAAAAAATAAATTCCCCAAACTCTCCTCACCACATTCGTGGCGGAATTTAGTTTCATGTATATACAGCTGGACAATAGAATTGTGTTTTTTGTCATTAAACAGATTTATCAAACGATTTTACGATTGGGTTAGTTTTCTGTCGACTACCGATGAGTACGACAGGTGAAAAGCACAGACCTTCTCCTCCCTAGTACAACAACCGACCGATGGGAATTTCTTCATTTCATAAATACGCCAATTAATTCCGCTAAGATTCTGTTCACTTGGGAGCCCAAGCGGGGGCCGGAGTATCTGATCCTGGAGTGCTGACATCACATTACCAACTACAATCTGATGGCCGACTCCGGATATTGACTGAAGAGAGCACTGGAATGGTGCTTTAGGAACCAAAGAGCTTGCATTATGCCTCGGTTATTAATCAAAAGGTCGATTTTGCCAATGGGACCTACCAAGGCCACATTAACGGGGCCTTGGTCAGTGCCATGACTTCAGAGCCACGTCTTAAGCTCTTTAGCCCTCTTAGCCGTTCTGTGACAGCGACCATCCATCAAAGCTAACTTCCAAATGCCTCAGCAGCCAACTTTCGCCTTTTCCAAGCATGCGCTTCAAAGTTGGTGACTGTAAGAGGTGATTAAGAAATAAACCCCATTATCACATTAAAGCATTGTTCTGGCTCCCTCATTTGGAACATAAATGAATTTACGCAGACTCTAACTTAAAAATTACAAATAGCGGTGCTTTACTGAGGCCTCTTTGTTCAACAAAGTTGGCAGTATACAGTTCCCTATTATGACCAGCAAAAGGACGTCAAATTATTCATTTTAGTAGTTTTATTTTTTAACTACTCTCTACAAAGTAGAAATCTAGTTGAGATGTGTTGCTTCAGTGGGAAGGGAAATTAGTTTACACTTGTTGTGCGGCAGTGTGGTGCCGCCAGACTTTCTAGAAGACACCACATTCGATTGGGCTGGAGAAGTTGCTGGCACAGCCGGGAAACCAGGCTCCTTGACGGCGGTACAAGTGGCTTGCCATTAAAGTCAAGACTTGGACGGGCATTTAATTTGCGAATGCGATGATATTCTGTAAGTTAAAATAACGAAAACTTTTATTTAAGTCTCCCTTGGCGCCTCAGGAGGAAGGAATGAGGCTGCATCAGCGCTGAGGCGCTTTGAGAGTTGCAATGTTTTTACACCGATTCGCATCATTCTGTGTTGTCGCAGCATCAATTAAAAGCATAAAAATTTAAATTAGAGAGCAAAGAGAGGAATCCGTGCCTCCTTTTTACCTGACTGACTCCTATCTACAATGGAGAGGATTAAATTCGGTCTTATAAGACATTAGCTACACAAAATTAAAGCTGCAAAGTGTCCACAACAAATTGACTAAGGCGGAAGGCTTGCCTTCAACAAATAAACCTTAACAAATAAAACCAGGGTGGACTTGGATTAGTCAGTGTAGATCAACCTTCGACAAGCTTGAGGGTTAATAAGCTTTGACAGGATCGACGACCAGATTATCACGTACAACAGGATCTACGCTGTGAAGGAATCGTGACTTAAACTTTGAGAGGCAAATTACAAAATGATGATGTGATGAGGACATCGGTATGACACTCAGAGATGAACATCAAAATCCCATCACTTTTGAGGCTGGGGAAAGAAATTATGCAGTAATTTTAACTAACTCTTTAAAGCATTGATGAAGGTGAGCAATAATTTGTGGGTTGTATTTTACATGAAGGTAGTTTGTTCGCTGAAGAAAGTACAGCAACTGTCTCCAACCTAACTCCTTCATATTAGCCAACTAGCAGAGCTCCTCAGACAGCAATCAATTCTAGCTCCCTCCCATTTCCAAAGTACAAAATATTTCTCATGTAGTGGTGCAGTTCTGGGGGTAGGAAACGATTAGAATGACCCTTCGGGGATTTGAGGCACACTAACCAGGACTGGGGCGTTAATTGTTATGGCAATTAGGAGAAGGTGCAAGAATGGACAATAATAAAACTTTTTTACTTCTTTTCCTCGCCTCTCTCTCCCTCTCACTCTCCTTCCACTCTCTTGCCTTGACTCTCGTGCAGTATTCATTGTTGATCGGTTATGTTTACGAAGTGTGTATGAGGTGAGGTAAAAGGTGTGATGGCATGCATTACCCGAATGCTTCGTTGTACTTGAGCTTGAGGATCTCGATCTTAGCTACTAGTTAAATGGAAATGTAGACACCGAGCTGAGCGGTCCCATCTTCTCTTTAGCACACGCAATGCAAGGACGATGTGGCGACGAAAAAAACAGATCACTCAAGGATGTCCAAGGCCATTTGCCTCGCCGAACCGGCATTTTAGGTTGAAGGACTGGTCGTCACTTATCCGGGGCATTTGAGTGTACGAAGCTCCTTCGAAGCATGACGTACTATTATTGGTGTTGTTGATATTTTATGCAGACTGTGATTTCATCCTCAAGGTTGGTGGTAGTGGAAGCTGATTACCTCGTCGCTATCATCATCCACATCAGGCATAATGACTGATCGAGCTAAACTGATTAAAATCAGACATAACTTCAAGTCGATATTTAATGGACTCGGAAGCATGCGCCTTACTTCCCAATGCTCCACCTTCTACGAATTACATACGAGTTGGACGCGGAGTTTCCACACCATCAGAACGGATTTGAGCTGCTTCGAGACATTTCTATCAAGTCCAATTAGACCACTTTAAAATGGTATTTTAAAGATGAGGTCAGCTGGTATGAAATTTACGATGATTAGCCGTAAACAAATCTCTATTGTCTGTCAAACTTTTCCATCAATTAAATCGAACATGCCGACCAACTACTCAAAATCCTATTGAATTTACCTGTGCCATTATTTCGAAGTGATCGCGT